CATATTATCTTCACATTACCTTCCTGAAATGTAGTATAAACGTGTCATTTCGATGAGTTATTCCAATAGTTCTCATTTAGAATGAACTCTGTATCATAGCCTAGCATGTTAGGCACTCTGGCTTATTGCCTCTTGTCTTCTCTTGCCTCAATCCTGCCACTTCCGTCTTCACACTTTGTAATCCAGCAATATTGAATGGATACCGCTTGCTACTAACTTATCCCTAAATTTTCCTGGAGTTCACAAAAAAGACACCCAAATCTTCTTTAGCACCATCTTCTCTGCAAAGTCTTTTTTAACCTTCAAAGAGAGAATTATTCAAATATCTCTTGTGCTACATTTCTACCTTACCTATTTCAGATTATTGATTTTACACTGTTTTATTTTTTTTTCCTAATAAGAGCTGTGAGACTTTTGTGGAAAAATGTTGTCTTATTCAGTTTTATCACAATGATGCCTGATATTTTTACTAGTAAATGATATTTTGGATTGAACTGAACTTTTGATCAAGATCTACTAATAATCAGACATTACTTATTGTGTGTGACGTTTTGATATGCCCATATGGAGAAGGCTAACTCTGATATGTAAATCACATTCCTCATGCTAAAGAAGCTAACACTACATTTGGGTAAAAAAATATCAGAAAGGAATTAAAATTGAAAAGACACCATAATTGTCAAATGAAATTGAACCCAAATAATCTGAAAGAGATGATATATATTAGAGTAAATATTAAACATGGCACTTTCAAAGTATAATAAAAGGAAGTTTTATTCATGTAACTACTTTCAATTAAGACACTAAAGATCATTTTGAACAAAAATAAGAAAAATTTTATTAATAGTTGACTACATCAGAGCAATGATTCAAGTCGATGTCAGAAACTACTTTGGTCTAATTAGTACAACATATTTTTATTTTAAAATGCATTTTCATACTCAAAGTGGCTATTTATTAATTTCTCCAAAATTAATATCAAAGTAAGAAATGACCGGCATTGACATCAATATCAGTGAATAGAAACACAGACAGTTTTCCTGTCATTTAAGTGAAGCAGCCCTTTATTCCTGCTTAATTCTGTGAGTCACCCACATACCAAATCTGTACACTGAAGGGACAATGAGCTGAAAGAAACATAAGGTAAACAGAATTACAACTTACTTTGAAATGAGGCAAAATAGTGGCCCTTAATTGAAATATGTTCAGAGTAGTTGAGGAAGTAAGAAGACATTCAAGTCAGCAATATACATAGCTGTAACAATGAGCTAAGGAAAGCATATGACAATATCACAGGTGATAATCAATTTTTAATCAAGGTTCATCAAAGCCAATGAACTCATGCCAAAATTAATTTCATATATACCATGGATATGTTAAATAAATTGTTTCAGAAAAGGAGAAGTAATCAGTGCCAGTCAGCTGGTCTATTGAGAGAAAAAAATGTTGGCACAAATGGAACTGAAGGAAAACAGAATTTGGATAATCAAAGAACAGCATGTGCATATACAACAAATGAAGCACTAGCTTGACAGAAGATACATGTACCCATGATGGGATTGATTTTGCAAAGTTTTGGAAGCCATTTGTTATTTTTCACTAAAATTTTATGGAAGAAATGTTAGCAAAATTAATTCTGGCAGCAAAATGCAAGATGGACTGACATATAGGCAGACTGGCACATAGACACACTGGCATATAGGCAAAAGAAGATGAATGAATAAAACTCATGCAAGAATACAGAAGGAAACGAGGCAAAGTCAGTGCAACTGGAATGGAAAAACAGGGTAAATGGAAAGACTACCCAAATTAAGAAATTAGTGAATGAACACAACTGACAAAAGAAAAAGATGAGATTTAGAGAACTAAAGAGAGGAAAGAATCATAGATGCTTAAAAACATTTGCATTGTTGGGCGCCTGTGTGGCTCAGTTGGTTAAGCAACTGCCTTCGGCTCGGGCCATGATCCTGGAGTCCTGGGATCGAGTCCCGAATCTGGCTCCTTGCTCAGCAGGGAGTCTGCTTTGCCCTCTGACCCTCCCCCCTCTCATGTGCTCACTCTCTTTCATTCTCTCTCTCTCAAATAAATAAATAAATAAAATCTTAAAAAAAAAAATTGCGTTGTTAAAATATAAAAATAAAAACAGTATAATGAGTAGAATAGATAGGAAGGGGCATGACTGGTGGTAATTTAACAGATTAAGGTTTGTACCTATTGCACATAGGTTGATTAGAGACAAAAAATATAGTACTAAATTCTGAATTTGGAAACTCTTCCTCATTTTTCACAATATGTTGAGTGAAGGTCACATAAAGTGAAACAAACATGAGTTATTGAAATATTTTGGTATCTTGCTATACCTGAATTACTATTGTACAAAGACCTAATGTGATCTTAAGCATTTTTCCTAGAAATAAAAGTCTTGAGATAAAATTCTCAGGAAAAATAGAGTTAGAAACTTTTTTCTAAAAAAAATTGATAACATTGAGTATGATGACAGCTTCATTTACTTTAAACAATGCCAAAGTAGTGTCTGAATTTTTAAAGCATGCGCTGGAAATTTACTGATATCCATTGCTGTATCTACTAACTACATGACTGGTCTTTCTTCCTTTTGTATTTTTTTTTTAAATTTTTTATTCTCTTAAAGGTTTTACTTATTTGAGAAAGAGAGAGAGAGAGGATGAGCAGGGGGGAGGGGTAGAGGGAGAGGGAGAAGCAGACTCCCCACTGAGCAGGAAGCCCGATTTGGGACTCGATCCCAGGGCCCTGGGATCATGACCTGAGCCAAAGGCAATTGCTTAACTGATGGGCCCACCCAGGTGCCCATCTTTCTTCCTTTTTTAAATTGAAGCCTTGAAGATATGGTTGAAGAAAAGATTATTTATTTGAACTAATGATTTTACAGGAGCAACACATAACAATAAATTTCACCAACAGAAGCCATTAGTCAGGATTAATTTGGGAGGAATCATGGACCCGTTACTCAATTTTATGTATGTTAAAAGAAATTTGGATTTTATAATGAAAATCACGCTCCGGTTTTAGTGGGTTTTTTTTTTTTTTTAATGTATTACTAATTGCTAGAGTATCATTATATTATGAAGGAGAAATATATTTTTTCTGGTTCTTACATTAGAAAAAATGCCACTATGGGGACTCACTAATTTAGCTTTAAGTCTTGTTGTTTAGTATAGTTCACAGAGCAACAGAATTTGCATCACTCAGGAGCTTATTAGATATGGAATTTCCAGTCCATTCCAAGTTTCTGAATCAGAATCTGCTTTCACACAAGATCCCCAGGCGATTCCTATGTCCATTAAAGTTTGAAAAGCACTAAATTAACCTTATATAAACTGATCCACCCAATCCATTTGGCGGGTAACGATCCTTGAGTTATGATACACGTTTGAAGGTTTTATGAGAATGATGTTAAGGAATTTATTTAATGCTGGGGGATATAAAACCATTATTACTGAAAACCTAGGACTGTCAGATACTGTGTTAGACATTTCCAAATCTATTAATTCATTTAATTCTTAACAATATTCTCTGAGTACATGAATACTTCATGTCTCTGGGCATGAAAAACAGCCTCAGGTTAAACGCATCTATTCTACAATCAATAAATTGAATAAGTATTGAGCAACCCATTTCTGAAAGTCCCTGAATTAGGCCTAGAAATAAAATGGGCATGGCCCCCTACTGTCATGGAATTACAAGGGTAGTGTGAGTTTCTAAGAGGGAAATCTAAACTTTCTTGAGTTACTTAGGGAAAACTATTTGGAAAGAGTATTTAAACTGATTTCTGAGAAGCACATTTTCGTAAAGGTGGCCCTGAAAAAAAAAAAAAAGGCGAGTCTGTCATGGATTTTAGTAAGGGGAACCAAGCAGCAAGTTGAGGCTGGAACTTCGCAGGAATACTGCAGAACTTTGTAGCACAAGGTGAGGCTGTTGGGCCTCATCCACGACTCAAAGGAAGCCATTGGAGAATCATAAGCAAGGAAATGACAAGCCCTGATCCACGTTTGGAAAAGATCCTTCAGTGAGACCTGTGCAAAGCCCTGCGGGCGGGTGGGTTTATTAGGGCCACTCCCCTAGTCAGCCTTTCTCCACCCAAGTCACCGCCTCCTGCTTCTCAGAGTAACTGTCTGAGGGAGGTGGGAAATGTATGAGAGGGGCGGGGGGAAGAAAAACATTCTCAAAAAATATTAAAAAGAAAACATCCCACTTGGCAGCGGGTGCGCGGGAAGTTCAGCGCGCGAGTTCCGGGTTTCCCGCCAGCCGCCAGCCCGCCCCCCCGCCGGCCGCAGCCCGGGTGAGCCCCCAGCCCCAGCTCGGCCGCAGCCTGCTGGGCCGCGTCCGTCGGTCGGTCCGCTTCCCCTCCCCCCACCCGCCCATCCTCAGGCGCCGCGCGGGGCCCGCCGCGCCGAGAGTGGCCGGGGTTTGTCAGGGCGCCCGCAGCCCGCGTTGGCCCCGGTCGCGCCTCGGCGGCGGCGCTTCCACTACTCGGCCCCGGGCGGGTTCGGGTCTCGCCGGGGCCCTGCGCCCTCCGCCCACACTGCGCGGCCGGAGCAGCAGCCTCTAACGCCACTTGTGGAGTTCTTCCCCCAGCGGCGGTAACTTTACACCAGCCTGAGAGAGGCCTATTTTTATTCAGAAACCAGCAACCAGAGTGTACGTAGAGAACGCTCAGATGGAGGGCCAGCCCACCACTTGAAGATTTCTCACAGATTGGTGGGGAAGGAACGTCTTGCCCTACTAGCCTTTCTTTGAGATTTCAGAATTCTGCGGCCGTCCTACAATTAGAGCGGAATTGGTTGCTCGCGGGGGCGGGGAGCTTTTTGATAAGCTGTTGCCCTAACCTGGCGGAGCTGACGCTGAACCCCACCTCTTCTCGGCCTCTAAGCCCTGATCCTGAGGCCATCACGCAAAAGCCCGGCCCAAACCGTGGCCTGGTCACCTTCCTGCTGGAATCGTTCCAAGAGCTGTAGGGACAGGCTCACGGTGGGGAGGAGCAAAGAGATGAATGTAGCAGCCAAGTACCGCCAGGCATCCCTGTATGTGGGTGATCTCAATGCAGATGTCACCGAGGACCTGCTGTTCAAAAAGTTCAGCGCTGTGGGGCCTGTGCTGTCCATCCGCATCTGCAGGGACCTGGTCACCCGCCGCTCTCTGGGCTATGCCTACGTGAACTTTCTGAAGCTGGCTGATGCCCAGAAGGCCCTGGACACAATGAACTTTGACATGATAAAAGGCAAACCCATCCGTCTCATGTGGTCTCAACGTGATGCCTACTTAAGGAAATCTGGCATTGGGAACGTGTTCATCAAGAATCTGGACAAATCTATTGATAACAAAACCCTTTATGAACATTTTTCAGCTTTTGGGAAGATCCTGTCCTCCAAGGTGATGAGTGATGATCACGGCTCTAGGGGCTATGCATTTGTGCACTTCCAGAACCAGATCGCGGCCGACAGGGCCATCGAGGAGATGAATGGGGCCCTGCTTAAGGACTGCAGGCTGTTTGTTGGCAGGTTCAAAAACCGTAAAGATCGGGAAGCCGAGCTCCAAAACAAGGTCAATGAATTCACCAATGTTTACATCAAAAACTTTGGAGATGACATGGATGATGAGAGACTGAAGGAAGCTTTTAGTAAATATGGCAAAACCCTGAGTGTTAAGGTGATGACAGATTCCAGTGGGAAATCCAAAGGCTTTGGCTTTGTGAGTTTTGATAGCCATGAGGCTGCCAAAAAGGCTGTTGAAGAAATGAATGGAAAGGACATAAACGGACAGCTGCTTTTTGTAGGCCGGGCGCAAAAGAAATCAGAGCGGCAGGCTGAGTTAAAGCAAATGTTTGAGCAGCTGAAACAGGAAAGATTTCGGAGATGCCAGGGCATGAAGCTCTATATTAAGAACCTCGATGATACCATTGATGATGAAAAACTGTGGAGGGAATTTTCTTCGTTTGGGTCAATTAGCAGAGTCAAGATAATGCGGGAAGAAGGGCGAAGCAAAGGGTTTGGCTTGATCTGCTTCTCTTCTCCTGAGGAGGCCACTAAAGCAATGGCTGAGATGAATGGCCGAATCTTGGGCTCTAAGCCACTCTACGTTGCCCTGGCCCAGAGGCCCTAGGAGAGAAAAAATTCCTGCACCAGCCAGTGTTTGCAGCAGGCGTGAGCATGATAGTGATCTCTGCCTTCGAATTATGCTCAGAAAATGTCAAATTCCAGCTGATGGCCGCTTAGTTTAGTAAACTTTGTGATAAAGGTTTTGTATACAAAGCTATTTTTTCTTGTGTGGAAAAATAAATGAATCTTGGAAGCTTGATTCATTTTACAGAGGCACATCTTCTAATTACAGTATTGTATATTTCTCTGATTTTGATTTAGTATTGAAAGCAATAAGTATAATTAGATATATTTTTATTACATTTTGAACCATCTGAAGTGAGGTAATTATTTGAGTTTATTTCATATTTTCTTTCTTATTTTAATAATATTGCTAGTTTTAATTTCTTCTATGAAAATATGCTAAAATAGTTCTTATACCTAAGGATCACAAAGTAATTTATTTTTACAAACAGAAATTTTCTAATTTCTCCTCTAAGCTTTTTAAAGAAACCAAAGGTTTAAGAATTGCCAGTAAAAATTCAATATCTAATTTCAATTTGAATTAATGTTTAAAGTACTAGGAAATAGTTGAATTTCTTTTGAATTTGTATCCTGACATGTTTTTCTGATGGCTGAAATTAATGATGGAGGTTTTTAATGTTGCCTACAAACCTGACTTATAGGATATTTTGCTCTTCTTTCCATTGGTAGACTGTATATAATTCATGTGCTTGCTAGTTATCAAAACTGGGACTTGAATAGTAAAACCTTAACTTCTATATTCCTTAAGTTATAAACTTTCATCAATAAGATGACAAAAAGTTGGCTTGGTCTTAATTCTCTTCATACCTATACAGGTTAGTATTAAGACTTAAGTTTCTACCAGACACCAATATTATAAAAGTCATATATAGAGAATATAGAAATTCTGTTTAACAATTCTTTTTCAATCTCTATTTTATATTGTTCGATGTAATGATATTATCTCAGGGTTCAGAAAAGTGTGTTTCTTTATTTTTATGAACTCATATCTCTTTTTATTAGAACACAAGAGATACGTAACCCATTAAGATTCAGTTTTAGCCTCAATTTATCAGAAGCTCACTAATTTTCTGATAAATTGAAATTACATCAATTTGCCTGTTTTCTAGAATAATATTTTAGTCCCATTGCAGACCTCCCTCTCTCTCCTACCCTTGATCTATATTACTCAACTTTGTTTTATACTTTTTTAAAAAGGGTTTTATTATATTGATTTTTACTATATGCTATTTGAAATCCACCTTGGAAACAGAGACAAGAGTTATTCATTTACATTTAAGATTTTATCACTTACATTTAAATAATTACTTTTAAAATTCTGTTTTACCAAAGGTGTCTGGAGAATAGCTTTGCTGTTCTTGTTGTTGCTATTTTATTTTATTTTATTTTTATTTTTTTTACTCTGCGTAGAGGTTTCCTGTAACCATATATTAAAGTCTTCTGTTTCTTATATTACCAGTACAAAAGATATATTAAAAGATTTTCTTTGGCAATACTTTAGCTATGAAAGAATGAGAAAATCTGTTTCTGTTTATTTTTGTATAGACTATATGTTTATTCGTGGCACATTTTCTAAATTAAAAGTCTTTTAGACAATGAAAACATTATGGACAATGAAAAAAACTTAGAGCAACATAAAATACTATTATGCAGACAAATCTTCTGTTAAAATTTGCTGCATATCCTCCCAATTTTTTAATACATATACACATAGATAATTTAACAAAAATAGAATAATTATAAGCTTATTACAAATTACTTTTTTAATTTTATAATATGCCATATCAATTTCCATATCCACAAATAATTATTTGCATTATAATTTTAATGACTTTTATTCCTTCAATGTTTGTACTATAATATAATGAATTTCCTCTTGATATGGATAAAGGTTGTTAGATTGTTTCCTACCCTCACCTTTTTTTCTTCTGTCATAAACAACTTGGAGATAAACATCCTTGCAAATTTATGTATGCTGATATATCCAGTTATTTTCTTAAGAAAATGTATAATTCATTGGAATTAATGTTTAAAAGGGTAATAATTTTAAAAATAATCTTGATAAATATTGCCCAAATGCTCTCCAGGAAACTTGTGCCATTTCCATTTCCATTATTGATGTGGAGGGCTGCCCATTTCCATATACTCCAAGAACAAGAGATTATTTTGTTTAAGTTGTTAGCCAATTCAAAATGATATGTAAAACAAAATATTTCATGGTTACTTTTTTTTTATTACTACAAAAGTTAAATAGCATTTCTTGTGTTTGTTGACCATCTGTGTCTTCATATTTATGAATTAATGTTTCATGATCTTCATCTGTTTTCCTTTTAGGTTGTTTTTTATTTGTACAGATTTGTTACATTTCTTTACGTATTAAGAACAAAAGTTTAGACTTTTTTTCCCCAATATTCTCACTTTGTTTATAGTTTTGAGGGTCATTCCAAAGTTAAATTTAAACTCAGAAATTTCAGTCCTTTACTTAGAAGGCTTTGATGTTATGATTCAAAACACTTTGAACAACTCAAATACACACACACACGCACAATTAATCTGTATTGTCTTCTACTACTTTCAGAGTTTTATATTCTCAATAATTTCTTTTTTTTTAAGATTTTATTTATTTATTTGAGAGAGAGAGAATGAGAGATAGAGAGCACGAAAGGGAAGAGGGTCAGAGGGAGAAGCAGACTCCCTGCTGAGCAGGGACCCCGATGTGGGACTTGATCCCGGGACTCCAGGATCATGACCTGAGCCAAAGACAGTCGCTTAACCAACTGAGCCACCCAGGTGCTCATATTCTCAATAATTTCTAAGCAAAACTTTTGTCTGTGGAGTATCTTATCCACAGCTATAGTAAATCTCTTAAAAGTATCTTGCTTTTCAAGCTTTATTAATATGTTTGGTAAATACCTACCTCCTGTAAGAATCTGTGTGAGACTCATATGCCAACTTGAATATATTGGGCCTTTGAATCACTGTGTTGAGAAGTATTTACCTCAAAAGCAGAGAGTTTTTAAGAAGACTGGGCAATAGGACTGGGAAGTGTAGTAGGTGTGTCAAGCCTTGACATCTCTTTCTGGCTAAGCCAGTCTATCAAAGTGTTCAAATATTTGAACAATATTTCATAATGCTTGTTAAATGGATTGTTAAGATAATATCAGGGAACTGAGTTCTTTGCTATGTGCACAAGGAATTAATAGGACATAATATCAGATGTCTAGATGAATTATAGCTGTAGCTTCATGACACAATATTCTATCATTTTAGTAGAAATTGCTTATTTTTATATTTACCGTAAGAAATGACAAAGTCACTTTATAAAAGTATAGAATCCTGTGGATTTTCTTGATTAATTTATTTGAATTTTGCTCATTTTCAATTTTGTGTGTGTGATAATATCAAGTCATCCTAGTTGGCAGTACAAGTTCATTCTTTGAAGAAAATTGAATCATTATGCCCAAGTGCCTTGATAAATAAGAAGAATCTTTACTTTTCTGGTAAGCATTCCAGTAAGAGCTAATTTACATAGGTGCCTTGAGCCACTGCTTCTATTCTTGCCTTCCTCTACCTACAGATATTGCCAAGTTTGTTGTAGATACCTGCTGGCATGCACCGCCAATTCAATAAATGTGCCTTCTAACATTTACCTAAAAATATAAAATTTCTAAATATTTTTACATTTTTAAATGAAAATCTTTAGTTAGCAAAAATAAACATTTTAAAGTGTTTAGAATTGGTAATTTCGGGGTGCCTGGGTGGCTCAGTCTTTAAGCATCTGCCTTCAGCTCAGGTCATGGTCCCAGAGTCCTGGGATCAAGCCCTACATCAGGCTCCCTGTTCCGTGGGAAGCCTGCTTCTCCCTCTCCCACTCCCCCTGCTTGTGTTCCCTCTCTCACTGTGTCTCTCTCTGTCAAATAAGTAAAATCTTAAAAAATAAAAGTAATTTCATGTTCTCAATATTTTTTTATAAACCCACTGAGAAAAGATCAAATAAGGTTTAATCTTGCAATGGTAAAGACATGTCTGAAAATGATTTTTTATTTAATTTTTAAGTATTTCTAATTTTCTAAAGATCAGTTTGTCTTAGGAATAAACTGAAAACAACTTGCATTTTTAAATCAAGATATTCTTATTTCATGTTTTAAAACACCAACTTCCTTATGAACTAATATTTCTTTTACAGTCACTCATAATTATGGGACCATGATTGGAAAGAGCCACTAATATAGATCAAGTTTTCATGAGAAATAATTGACTATTTTTTAAAAAGATTTTATTTATGTATTTAACAAGAAGAGAGAGCACAAGCAAGGAGAGCGGGAGAGGAAGAAGAAGGTTCCCTGCTGAGCTGGGAACCCAACGCCAGGCTCGATCCCAGAACCCTGAGATCATGACCCAAGCCCAAGACAGACGCCCAACTGAGTGGGAGCCATGCAGGTGCCTCAATAATTGACTATTTTTAAAACACTTCTGCATTTAATTGTTAAAGTAAAATTCAGCTAACATGTTGAGGATTTAGAATTAGCTTACTTGTATTTGGAAAATATGCCTCCTAATGTAATTTAAAAAAAAATAAAAACAGTAGATAAAAAAGATTTTTTTAATCTACATTTTTTTAATCTACTCTAAAGAGTAGAACAAATTAAATATCCTTATGATATCTTTGGCTAACAGAAAATTCCAATTCACACTAGAAAAGGAAATTTTATCTAACAAAATATTCAGAGTTTAAATATTTTCAGGCATAGTATACTAAGACTTCTGTAACATTTTGGAGTCTCTTGGCTCTTCCTCCCCACCCCACCCCCATATCTCAGCTTTATTATCAGGCAAGTGGCAAGATGGCTGTAGGAATTCCTGTCATCATACTGAGACACAACAACATTCAGAAGGTGATATCTTTCCTAGAAACCTTTTAACAACTTTCTGCCTCAGTTCTTATTGTCCATTATTGGTATAGAGATTAAACAAGATATGCCACTAGAATTGAAGAAGTAATCAACTTTCTAAGTTCTGGGCAGA